TGTGCGTGCTCCCCGGGAGCACGCAGCACCGCGATCCGGTGCCCGCTGTGTCCTCCGGACACAGTGAAACACCGATCGTCGGACAGGACCTCTGTACGAGGTCCCGATCATGTGATTAACCTCCCTAGCGGTATGATTATTTCAGATTTTTGGTGCTGAAAGCGGTACCATTATTTTGCATGGCAATATGTAGTTTTTTTATTGTAGGCTGTAATATTTAGGAATAACTCACTGAAATCTGTCCGAACAAGAGTCTAGTAAACATCCCGGCTATGATAAAATTTGAAACAGAAAATCATAAATTATAATTTAATAAATAATCATAAAAAATAATATAATAATAATACATTTAATTCAATAATATAATCAAACCAAAAACACTGAAATTTGAAATATAGCGCCAAGTTCGCACATCACTGAGCAAAGTCGCAGAATCGTTTTCAGTGTCTGATGAGGAATTTCCCCCACGAATCATTATCACTCAATTCTGCAAGTGGTTCTGATTTACTATCGCTGTTCTCTAGCCGGTCTAAAAACCGCTTTTGACCTAAAGGGACACTTTTTTGGACACCATGGACTTTTCTAAGTTTCCAGGCAGAAAGATCAGTCAAAATGCAGACAGGGGGCAGGACAGAGCACTAGGGACAAAATGTATGTGAAATGGGTTGAAACAGCAATGTTTTACTATGTAAAATCGTTTTTGAAAAAAATGACATTTTTAAAAAAAAATTCAAATTTCCCGCCGCCGCCCGTACGTCCCGAAGTCACAGGGACCGGGACACAGGAGCCGGATGCCGGCATCAGCCGGAGGAGATGGCCGGGGACGCTGCAGGGGACACATCGCGGGAGCGAAGGACAAGGTAAGCTCTGCAGGGACTCCCTATGCAACGCCGCATGGTAAGCCCGAGTGTAGCTGGAGGCAAAGAAATTTAATCTCCAAACATGGAAATGTTTCTTCTTCACAGTGAGAGCTGTGAAAATGTGGAATAGACTCCCTCAAGAGTTGGTTCTGGCCAGCTCAGTGGATTGCTTTAAAAAAGTCCTGGATTGTTTCTTGGATACACAGAATATAACTGGATATAACATTTATAGGTAAAGTTGATCCAGGGAATATCCGATTGCCTCTCGGGGGATCAGGAAGGAATTTTTTCCCCTGCAGGAGCAAATTGGATCATGCTTTGCTGGGTTTTTTTTTTGCCTTCCTCTGGATCAACTGTGGGTGTAGAAGTATAACTTCCATGGTTGAACTAATCGAAGGACTTTTGTCTTTTTTCAAGCAGACAAACTATGTATCTATATATGTCCTGGTAACACCAGCGTCATGGCTGCAGCCATGATCCTGGTGCCATTTTTTCAATTCTTTTCAGTTGGCGATCGGCTTTCAGTTAAAAGCGATCCAAGCTGCTCTACAGCTGCCCAATCACTTTTATAGGACTCAGAAGGCCTTCCTGCTGCAGTCGTAAGAGGTCTGGTCAGCTGCCCATAGAAGAGAAGCAAGATGATTGTATCCAGAAGGGACGAGGTTTTTTTTTTGGCCACTCCAGTTTTGGTTCAGTGTTTACCTGCCTCGTCTTGGCCAGGGAAGTAGCCAATCAAACTGATCTCCATTTGATTGGCTGCCTTAGAGGGCAGAGGAGGGATCTCTCCATAAAGCAGTGTTTTTCAACCTTTTTTGTGCAAAGGCACACTTTTTTTCATGAAAAAAATCACGAGGCACACCACCATTAGAAAATGTTAAAAAAATTTACCTCTGTGCCTATATTGACTATATATAAAGTAATTCTCTTGAATAGGAATCAAACACAAAGAAATTATTTTATAATTACTTTATTATGAAATAATAAAGTATTTTATAATTGTTCATATTTCTGTTTACTTACTCAGTGCGAAACCTGGGCCTGTTTGAACACAAAGCTGATATTCTGGCAGGAATCGAATAATTAATCCCCCATATAGTAATTCATCCCCCATAGTAATTCATCCCCCATAGTAATTAATCCCCCATATAGTAATTCATCCCCCATAGTAATTAATCCCCCATATAGTAATTCATCCCCCATAGTAATTAATCCCCCATATAGTAATTCATCCCCCATAGTAATTCATCCCCCATAGTAATTCATCCCCCATATAGTAATTAATCCCCCATAGTAATTAATCCCCCATATAGTAATTCATCCCCCATAGTAATTCACCCCCCATATAGTAATTCATCCCCCCATATAGTAATTCATCCCCCATAGTAATTCATCCCCCCTATAGTAATTAATCCCCCCTATAGTAATTCATCCCCCATATAGTAATTCATCCCCCATAGTAATTCATCCCCCTATAGTAATTCATCCCCCATAGTAATTCATCCCCCATAGTAATTCATCCCCCATATAGTAATTCATCCCCCATAGTAATTCATCCCCCATATAGTAATTCATCCCCCATAGTAATTCATCCCCCATATTAAGTCCCCAAGCCCCCCCTGTGTCAATTCACTTACCTTTGCTCCACGCGTTCCTCTCGCCATTCCAGTGTAGCATGAAAATCTGTCTCCTATGAGGATCTGTCCCCCTCGACGTATCTGCGCATGTGCCAGTTTCAGGCATTAGCAGCCGATCGGCGATCTCCGGCACATGTGCAGATACGTCGAGGGGGACAGATCATCCTGACAGTATCACGCTCCGCGGGCCGGATTAAAAGGTCCGCCGGGCCGTATACGGCCCGCGGGCCGTAGTTTGCCCATTGCTGTTCTAATGATTGGTCTATTTGTGAGCCAAGGCCACATGTTACGGATGAAATTGCAATTTTTCCCACGGCACACCAGACAATATCTCACGGCACACTAGTGTGCCGCGGCACAGTGGTTGAAAAACGCTGCCATAAAGAGTACTTTTCACTGCCCAAGCTATCACAAAAGATGCTGTTCATCCTTTGTGATAACAAGTTGAATGAAAAAAATAAAAAAAACTATAGAAAGTGTATAAAACAAAAAAAAATCAATTAAAATAAAAAATAAAGCACTCCCATGCTCATGCGCAAATGCAGACGCGCACTTAGCTCTCTTATGCATATGTAAGCAGTGATTGCACCACCCATGTGAGGTATCACCCCAAACATCAGCGTGAGAGCAACAATTCTAGTGCCAGAACTCACATTTAAGTAGTAAGAAGTATGGGCTACTAGGTGGATGCTGCATCAGTCTAATGTGGCATCTGTCTCCCTCCGTCTTTGCACTGAGTTCTGAGCAACCAAACACTGCCGATCGCTCTGTTCTCCCCTTCCGCTCTGAGCAGTTAGCCGGTTTCTGTGAGTCACTGGCTCTCTGCTCTGCCCCTGATGCGCTCACTGGAGTGCTGGGCTGTGGAGGGGGCAGGAGGGGCTGGCTCAGGCACTTAGCAGATCTCTGAGAGGCTGAGCCAAATGCTGGTCCAGGCATCTGGATGGTCTGGATTTTTCCCCAGCCTGGACCAGGTTTGTGATGTCAGTCGACAGCAGTCTGCTCAAAACGGGGTCACAGGAGTGCAGAATAAACTGCACTCCTGTGATTCACAGCAGACGTACAGCCAAACAAACTTGGTCTATACTTCTCCTTTAAGTCTAAACTGGTAACCTGAAAAGACTTTAAAAGCGACGCCTATGGAGATTTTTATGTACTGTGGTTTTTCACCATTTCACAGATGCTCAAAATTTTAAATTCTTGACATGTATTCTGTTGGGGTACCCCAAGGTTCCATCCTTGGGCCTTTCCTTTTCTCTCTCTACACCTCCTCTCTGGGCCAACTGATCACCTCCCATGGCTTCCAATACCACCTCTATGCTAATGACACCCAGATCTATCTCTGCACTCCCCAGCTCGCCCCCTCAATCTCCTCACGTATCACAAATCTACTAAGAGACTTATCAGCATAGATGTCACACCACTTCCTTAAACTCAAACTTTCCAAAACTGAGCTGTAATATTTCCTCCTCCCCGATCCCCCACTCACGATTTTACCATTAAGATCAACAACACAACCATTGATCCTTCCCCTCATGCCAGGGTGCTAGGCGTAATCCTAGACTCTGACCTCTCCTTTTGGGCCCCACATCCAGTCACTGGCTAATTCTGCCACCTCAACCTCCGGAACATCTCCAAAATCCACTCCTTTCTGACCAATGACACCGCAAAACAACTTATCCATGCCCTGGTTTTATCCCTCCTTGACTACTGCAACTCCCTCCTCACTGGTCTACCATTACACAGGCTATCCCCCCTTCAGTCTATTATGAATGCTGCTGCTAGACTCCTACACCTTACCAACCGATCAGCGACTGCTGCCCCTCTCTGCCAATCCCTCCACTGGCTTCCACTAACCCAACGTATAAAATTCAAAAATACTAGCCACAGCTTACAAAGCCATCCACAACACTGCCCCTAGCTACATCACCAACCTCATCCACAGATACCACCCAAATCAGCCACTCCGCTCCTCTCATGATATCTTCCTCTCTAGCTCCCTTATCACCTCCTCCCACGCTCGCCTCCAGGACTTCTCCAGAGCCTCCCCCTTCCTCTGGAGCTCCCTACCACAGTATGTCCGGTCAGCCCCCACTCTGTTTGCCTTTAGGCGATCTTTGAAAACTCACTTATTCAGGGAAGCCTACCCCACCTCCACCTAAGAACTGTACTTGAATCACCTCCACCAGATCATCCCCCGCAGCTATCACCTTTTGTATCACCTCCCCCTTCCTTTACATTGTAAGCTCCACGAGCCGGACCCTCCTATTCCTTCTGTACTGAAATGTATTGTAATTGTATTGTCTCCCTTATATTGTAAAGTGCTGTGCAAACTGTTGGCGCTATATAAAGCCTATATAATAATAATAATACTGTATGAATGGTATATATTTACTTGGCATAACAGTATCTTTTTTATATTTTATGAGACTGAAGGGAATGGCAGAGGTCAGATTTAAATAAAGGAATTCTTCAAAACCCTGACATGAGTTTCCTCTCTTCTCCACAGAGTTGCATCATAAAGCGTTACTGTGAAAAACGATTTGTTCCCAAGTACCAGGCCACCATTGGAATCGATTATGGTGTCACAAAGTAAGTGGTTCTTCCAGTCCTTGTACTTACTTTGTGGATGGATCTGTTGCCATAACAGAAGGAGGATTTGGAAGAGTCTTTGTATTGGCTTGTCTGGAATAATGAGTTATATCTTTGGATTTCTTATTAGCAGATCAATTGTTTTCATTGTGATCATTTTAGTGCTGTTTTTTTTTTTTCTGTGTGCCTTTTTAAAAGGTGCAAATGAATACCTGTTGATCTGGTAGAAATCCGTAGAGCTCCTAATTCCTATTTGGGCTGACAACACAGCACTTTTTCTACACAGAAATCCCAACCACTGTTGTCAGGCCCGCCTGCTAGACTACAAAATTCCACCTACCTTTCTCTGTCGTTCTCCCCATGCACACATCGATTACTTTCCCAGCAAAACAACGCAGCTGCTTTGACTCCCAAGAGTCTGCTTACATGCTGTGTGTAGGAAATGAGCCCTTGGGAGATATAGTACTGAGGGTGGCAAAATAAAAAGCTAATTCTGGGACATACTCTAGAGTCCTGGTGCCCAGCCTGTGGCCCTTTTGCACTTTTTGTGGGGCAGGCTTTAGTCTGCTTTCCTATTGCTCTGTTATAGGTTTTTCTGTTTTTTTTAATAACAAGCTTTTGTAATGTGTCAACAGTCTCTTACTGTCTCCCATAGTATGTCTGCAGTCTCTGGTCATCTCCTGTACCATGTTTACAGTCTCTGACCATCTCCTGTACCATGTCTGCAGTCTCTGACCATCTCCTGTACCATGTCTGCAGTCTCTGACCATCTCCTGTACCATGTCTGCAGTTTCTGACGATCTCCTGTACCATGTCTGCAGTCTCTGACAATCTCCTGTACCATGTCTGCAGTCTCTGACCATCTCCTGTACCATGTCTGCAGTCTCTGACCATCTCCTGTATTGCAGTCCTGATGTCTGCAGTCTCTGACCATCTCCTGTACCTGTCTCCTGTATGATGATTGCAGTCTCTGACCATGCAGTCTCTGACTGTACCATGTCTGCAGTCTCTGACCGTCTCCTGTACCATGTCTTCAGAGTCTCTGACCATCTCCTGTAAGATGATTGCAGTCTCTGACCGTCTCCTGTAAGATGATTGCAGTCTCTGACTGTCTCCTGTATGATGATTGCAGTCTCTGACTGTCTCCTGTATGATGATTGCAGTCTCTGACTGTCTCCTGTATGATAATTGCAGTCTCTGACCGTCTCCTGTATGATGATTGCAGTCTCTGACCGTCTCCTGTATGATGATTGCAGTCTCTGACCGTCTCCTGTATGATGATTGCAGTCTCTGACCGTCTCCTGTATGATGATTGCAGTCTCTGACCGTCTCCTGTATGATGATTGCAGTCTCTGACCGTCTCCTGTATGATGATTGCAGTCTCTGACCGTCTCCTGTATGATGATTGCAGTCTCTGACCGTCTCCTGTATCATGATTTGCAGTCTCTGACCGTCTCCTGTATCATGATTGCAGTCTCTGACCGTCTCCTGTATCATGATTGCAGTCTCTGACCAACTACTAGGCAGAAACCCGTTTTTGACAAAGCTCTGGCCATATTGGATGAGTTCAGTCCTATGGTTTGTTGAAAACATCATGATGTCAGGAAAGACGGAATAATATAGAATCACTTCTGCAGCAGACTGAATGAACTCTGATATGATGTTCTTTTTTTTCTCCAGAGTACAAATTAGAGATCGAGAAATCAAGGTCAACATCTTTGATATGGCAGGACACCCCTTCTTCTATGAGGTAGGAATAGAAACGGTAATCTTGGTATAACCTGGAGGTTCTCAGATTTTCTGCCCCAAGTTTTGGGTTTATTCCAGTTACCCCCAAGCCTCACCAACTTCATGCTACCAGTGCTAGCTATATTTCCCAATACAGTAGTATAAACTAAAGGTGAAGTCCAGGTAGATATAAGACACAATATCACATCTCTGTATTAATTCATACGGGCCTTTGCCCCGTTCCTTTGTCATAGGATTTAATTGACAGCAGCGGGAGACAATGACTCCCACTGTTATCAATCTTCCCTGTGAGGAGAGAGAGACCCAGGAGAGCTGCTGCTCTCATACACATCACTGGCTTGGGTTTAGGCTCAAGTACGTATAGGGGACTGGGGGGGATTCTGGACAGAGCAGGTTTTTTTATCTTAATACAGAGAATGCATTAACCACATCCCTGCCTGCCCTATAGCAGATATACTGCTACAGGGCGGCAGGGGTACATAAAATCACATATATATATATATATATATATATATATATATATATATATATGTATGTTTGTGATTTTGTGTTTCCAGGTAGGGGGCGCACATGCCCTACCCGCGCCGCCATTCGCAGCCACGGCTCTCAATCACTGGGTCCAGGCTGGTGATTCCCCGCCAGTGCCCGGTGATTACCGAGGATCTCCGACGGGGAAAAGGGCTGCTTTGTTTACTAACAGTTGTCCTCCCAGTTGGCTCAGGCACACTGCACTGGATGGCTGTGCACAGCACAGCCATCCAGCGCAGTGTGATAATGGTGAAGCACACAGACACTGCCCCCTAGTAAAACACTCCCAGCACACAGTTAACCCTTTGATCGCCCCTCATGTTAACCCCTTCCTGCCCAGTGCCATTAGTACAGTGTCAGTGCTTTTTTTTTTTTTTTTTTTTTAGCACTGATAACTGTATTGGTGTCACTGGGAATGTCAGTGACACCAAGTCAGTTCCCCCCAGTGTCAGAATGCCCACTGCAGTCCAGCTATAAGTCGCTGATCACCGCCATTACTAATAAAAAAAAAAATCCAGTATATATACAGCCATTTGTAAACGCTATATCACTCACGTAAACCAATTAATTTACAGGTATTGAGATTTTTTTTTTTAGCAAAGACATGTCACAGAATACATTTTGGCCTAAATTTATGACCAGATTTGATTTTTTAAATTTCTTTACAGGACATGTTTAATAGCAAAAAGTCCAAAAAATATATATATTTTTTTTTATAGCAAAAAAAAAAAAACCTACACAGGTGATCTAATACCACCAAACGAAAGCTCAATTCGTGGGAAAAAAAGGACATAAATTTCATTTGGGTGCTGCGTTGCATGACCGCGCAATTGTCAGTTAAAGTAACTCAGTGCCGTAACACAAAAAATGGCCTTGTCATGAAGGGGGTAAATCCTCAGGAGAGCAAGTGGTTAAGCGAAAAAAAAAACAAACTTTAGAATGAGTTTAAGTAATCTTCGGGCCTAAAATTATTATTTTTTAAGCATGTGCATGTGCAAAAATGGCTCTGGCAGAGAAAGGGCTAAACTGAGGAAGCCAATTTAATGAGCAGCAAAGAGCCACATTCAACCAAACTTACTCTGTAATGGTGAAGAAAAACTACCACTAGATCTACCATAATCTGGATAAATGAGAACCTTCACAGATATTTGGGTGTCGTCGCTTATTCATTTATGCATTTATTACAGGTACTTAACCGCTTCCCATCTGCCCTATAGCAGTAGTACTGTTACAGGGCGGCACGGGTGTGCAAAATCATATATATATATATATATATATACGTGATTTCACATTTCCGGGAAGGGAGCGCGCTCCCTTCCCGTGCCGCCACCCGCTGCTGTGAAATCACGGGTCCCGGCCGGTGATTGCCAAGCATCTCCGACGGGGATGGGGGGGGAGAATTGTTTGTAAACAAAACAGTTTGCTCTCCTGTCAGCTCTTGCACTGCTTTTCATGGCAGTGTGCTTACAGTGAAACACAAAAACACAGCCCCACAGTAAAACAGCACACAGTTAACCTTTTGATTGCCCCACATGTTAACCCCTACCTGCCCAGTGCCATTAGTACAGTGTCAGTGCTTTTTATTAGCACTGATCACTGTATTGGTGTCACTGGGGATTTCAGTGACACCAAGTCCATTCTCCACAGTGTCTAAATGCCCGCCGCAGTCCCGCTATAAGTCATTGATCGCCACCATTACTAGAAAAAAATTTAAAAACAAATCTCATTATACAGTATATACCACCATTTGTAAACTATAAATTTCTCGCAAACCAATTAATTTACACTTATTGGGATTTTTTTTTTGGAAAGACATGTCGCAGAATACATTTTGGCCTAAATGATTAAATTTGATTTTTAACATTTTTTACTGGACGTGTTTAATTGCAAAAAGTCAAAAAAATATAGGTTTTTTTTTTTCCCTCAAAATTGTCGCTTTTTTTTTTATAGCACAAAAAATAAAAACTGTACAGGTGAAGAAAGCTTTATTCGTGGGAAAAAAAGAATATAAATTTAATTTGGGTGCAGCGTTGCATGACTGTGCAATTTTCAGTCAAGTAACACAGCGTTGAAATGGAAAAAATGGCCTGGTCAGAAAGGGGGGGTTAATCCCCAAGGGCAAGTGGTTAAATGGCACTGTCAATTTATGCAGCACTTTACATATATATTGTACATTCACATCAGTCCCTAATCCTCAAGGAGCTTACAATCTAAGGTAACTCACATTCATACATACACATACTAGGACTAATTAAGACAGGAGCCAATGAAGCTACCAGCATGTCTTTGGAGTGTGAGAGGAAACCGGAGTACCCGGAGGAATCCCACACAGGCACAGGGAGGACATGCAAACTCTCAACTATGCTGTGGTTGGGATTTGATCCGATGACCCTATTGATGCTAGGTGGAAGTGCTAACTACTTAGCCACTGTGCTACCTGTTGCTCAAAGCGATACTAAAGTTAAAAAATGTTTTTTTATTCCTCTGTCCTCCCCCTTCCCTGTGTGAAGGGGAGGGGAGGAGAGGGGAGAAGAGATTAGCTGTTGGCTCCTGCTGTTGTCAATCAAATGCAGTGAGGAGGAAGTGGGGGAGGGGCTAAGTAAGTTCTTTGGTCAGTGTCTATGGAGTGTGGCTCCGTAGACACAGCTTGGGAGCGAGCGGACACTCTGTACCCCCATAGCAAATGACTTGTTACGGGGGACACGCGAAGAAGAGGAGGAGCCAAGATCGCCTCCAGGGAACCTGAGAAGAGGAGGACCGGGGACGCTTTGTGCAATACCATTGCACAGAGCAGGTGAGAATAACAGTTTGTTATTTTAATAAAAAAAAAAAAAAAATCTGGCACTGTGGGAATCAGTGGGCCACACACACAATTACATCCAGAAACTAAAATGTGCGCTGTGCTTAGCGGAATATGACACAGATGCGTTCGAGGCAACTTGCATATCTCCAGATCTTACATGTGTACGTGTATTAATGCACGCATGTATACAAGCAGAAAGCCTTTAGAAGAAATGTATACATGTAAATACTGTATGCACCTAAATGTGAGTACGTTATGCAGGATCTTTAGCTAGGTGTGTCAGCAAGAACCTGCATTCTGTGCAGAAAATATGCTCATCACCTTGTGAATGAGCCTTTAAGTGACTTTACCTTGAGGGAAGTATCAGGGCTTCCTTTTCTGATCTCTTCCTAAAAAAATTCTGGCTAATGGCCGTGTTTGATTTAAAGGGTACCTCCACTTTTGTGGGGGGAAAAAAATGAGCAAATTAAAAAAAAAAAAAAAGTAATATAGCATATACAATTGCGACACAAGTCATATTGTAATTGAATGTTATTAAAAAGGACCTTTCCCTTTCGATCTGCATCGCTGTAATTATCTGTAAAAAAGCAATATGGCTACCTGGAGGCATTCCGTACACAGATGGTGTACAGAATGCCCAACAGATATGTATTTTTCTGTTTGTGTGATTGGCTCACTGATTTTTCTATAAGCCAGCACTCATGTACAAATCAGATTTTTAGCATCCCCTGCAACAAAATTTTTATTTTTGGTGAGATACTCCCAAAGACAAAGCACATCTAAAGGGACCTTGCCACTTTCCTCATTAGAGCCCTGCAGGTGCAATAGCTGATTGATGATAAAACTGCTCCTATACAGATTCACTTTCCACATGGACACACAAAAAAAAACAGCTATTCCTTCAGAATAACAAAATGTAGGAGCAATAAAGTTTGTTGAAATCCTTGCAATGTACAGAGATCACCCAGAGGGGATTGTTTTTTTTTTTTTTTTTTTTTTTTTTTTCTCAACAAAGGTGGAGTTACTCTTTAAAGGCTAACTCCATCTTTTGCACCATGTTGCATGTTACACCCATCTTTATGGCATAGTATGTAACATGGTGAAATGCCTTCCCCACCCTCAAAGAGTCTTCAGGAGCTTGGCATTGGTTCTACAATCAGCATCTGAAAAAAAAATAATACATTTTCATATTGCCCTGCAAAAATCTGTGCATTTATTATTTTTTTTTCAGGGTGAACGTGGCCTTTAACCAATACACGCCCGGCCAATAGCCAAAAGGCGGCCGGCAAAATGTACTGCATTTCCAGGTTGGACGCCAAATGGCGTCCTCCCGCACATGCGCACTTTTCGCGCTTGCGGAGCGATCTGTCACCGGTCGTGTACCTCGGACACGGCCGATGACAGATCTGAGTATCGGCCCTGTTGCCGGGTACCATGTGACCTGCTGTGACCAATCACAGCAGGTCACATGACAGTTGCAGTTGCTTCATTCATGCCATCCATTGTATACTACTGTCTAGCTGTGAATGGTCACAGCTAATCACATGCACATGTCATGTGATTAGCTGTGGTCAAATCACAGCTAAGCACAAAAAAAAAAAAAAAAAAAAAACCCTGAATGAATCGATGTCATTTAGGTAAATGCTTGCTTATAGCAAAGTAATTCTTTG